GTATGTTTTCTAGGTAGTTCTTCAACTAAACCTATAGACTTGATGAAATTCTTTGAACTTTGGTCAAAAGAAAAAGATCGAAAATTCGAAATTTGCAAAACCGAATTGTTGAACAACATGGAGTTTGACTGTTGATCCTTTCTGCTCTGACATCCGTACTCACATCGCGAAAAATCTACTAGTTTTTTAATTAGCTGAAATGTTTGTTTAAAGTTTGTTTCCCTTGGACTGTCAAATTTTGGATATTAGCTTTTAAGGTATTGAAAACTGAATTATTTTACTTCTCTTTGATTGGTTTTTTATTTCATTAACTTTGAACTGTTGATTACGTTATATGTTCGGTAGAAAAGATCGAAATCTAGCTCGATTTACTTTTTTTCTTTTGACTGAAGTTCAGATTACTCTTTATAATTCTTAATTAGACACTGAAACAAATTTATCTCAATAATAATAAGATTGGTAATGATGGAGCAAAATATTTTGCTGAGGTGTTGCAAAATTTAAATGTGATTATCTTTTTTGTTTTTCTCGCTGCTCTTCATCAAAATATAACTTTTTCTGAATGTTTAGGCACTAGAAACAATTGATCTTAGAAGAAATCAAATTGCAGAGTTGGGATTATACTTTATTGCTTTAGCATTAAGAAATAATAAAGTAATTATTATTCTTACTCTACCTAATGACTACACAATATCTATCTCATACACAGACTGTTACTACACTAAAACTTGATGACAATAAAATTAATATAATTGCAACGCAAAATTTTCTTGACAATTTACAAGAAAATACGGCAAGCTATCGTGGTCATTTATCATTCTCTCTCTTTATTTTTTTCTTTCACAGACTCTCATCGATTTTAGTTTATATGGAAATCAAAATCGTTTTTGCGCATTTATTGGAAAATATATTTCACTCAAAAATAAATCTGTAAATTATAATATCTTACTTTAAATCAATATTCATTGTTGTCTTTATTGACAGTTACTAAACAGCTTCTCTCTCCAGAATTTTTATCTTACGGAAGTAGAAATTAAGCTTATTATCGATATCTTACTAAAGAATACGGTAGTTTGTAATCTTTCTTGATTTCAAATCGTCAAATTTATTTTTGTCTATGCATAGATTCTCGAAGAACTTAACCTTACTGGCAATTGTATTGGAACAGAAGGAGTAAAATATCTTGCTGATACCTTAAAAGAGAACAAAGTGATCTATACACGTGTGCATATTTCAAGTCTAACAAATTTTAATACTAAGATTAGACACTGAAAAACTTGTATCTGTGTGAGAGTCGTATTGAATCAAAAGGAGTAAAATATCCTGCTGATGCTCTAGGAGAAAATATGGTAATCATTAGTTTCTTCTGCTTTATGATTTGCATTAAATTTTTCTTTATCCTTTCTTCATAGACGCTTGACCTATACCCTAATCCGATTGGCATTCCGGATGTTAATTATCTTATTGAAATTTTACGAATGACAAAAGTAACTGATTAATTTACATAGCATTTTTTCAATTCATTCCATCGTTTCTCAGACACAAACACTCACCACACTATATATTGGCATTCTCATTCACCATCGACAACGACACCCAGATACTGAAAATCTGGCTTCTGTCTTACGCAGTAGCAAGGTACTTTCTATAAGAATATTTTTCGTTCTTGAAAAACTCTTAATTTTATATATATATATAGACATTCTCTCGACCCGAATTATCAGGAACAGTAGATGGTTATTGAAGAGCACTTGTAGCAGCAGCAAGAATACGTACATATAGTGTAACATCTCGCACAGTGAGAACATTTGGTTTCGCAACGTGTTTCTTTCACTTTGTAGACATTAACAAAATTAGACCTTAAAAATGAAGGAATCGGATCTGCTGGTGTAAAACAGATTAGTGATGCTATAATCAATAATAAGGTGAATTTTACAATACTTTCATTATTCATTTTTGTACGTAATTGTTTGTATAGATAGTGACGGAATTGATACTTGATTGTAATCCAATCAGTTCTACCGGAGCATCATATATTGCTGATTTGCTGCGCATGGATACAGTAACATGCATTCATAGATTTTAATTCATACTAACATCTATTTTCAACCTTTATTTATAGACACTCAAAGTGCTGCGTATTGATGCTAAGAGTATAGGTCGATCAGGTATGACAAAAATTATTGATGCACTGAAGCAAAATATAGTTTGTATTGATATCATTAAAAATCATTCATTTTCATCAGTTGATACATGTATAGACGTCAACAGCATTAAATCTGGAATTCGGTGGATTGATAAGATTGAAGTGTTTGAAAAGAATTCGCGACATACGAACTGATAAAGTAAATTATTTATCCATGAAATATTTCTTATTATCATATCTCTATTTCTGTGAAGGAGCTTAACACCTTAGAAAAACAATACAGATCCATCAATAAAATGGAAATGAACTATCTTGTTCATACTCTAAGAAATAATTCAGTAGTAATTAAAGAAATCTCAATTATGTTCGATTGCATTTCTCTATTTACACACCTAGACACTAAGTTCTCTGAATCTAACAAACAATGACATTACACCAGAAAAAATGCACGATTTGGCTGAAATATTAAAAATCAATTCAGTAATGAGTATTCATTATCATTCTTCTCGATAAATATGATTTGCTTGACACAGAAATTGACAATTTTGTGTTTGGAAATAAATCCAATTTGTGACAATGGTGCAGAATATCTTGCTTCAGCATTATTTAGTAACACGGTGAGCGACAGTATGTTATTATGCTTAGTTGATTATACGATTTATTTTATACTCATAGACACTAAAGACATTGATCCTTTCGAAAAATAAAATTCGATCAGCTGGTGCAAGGAGTCTCGCTGATGTCTTACGGGACAATGCAGTATATTTGATGAATTTTCAATTGATATCTTTTCTTAGACAAATGATTTTCTGTAAATAGACACTAACTGTATTCAGATTTAAGAAAAATAAAATTGGAACTGAAGAAGTTCAATTTTTGGCAGAAGCATTGCAAACAAACACAGTGGTTTATTTGTTTTTTCTGTATGTATTATCTATAAGTTGAATAGTTCACTCATAGACGCTAATAAAAATTGATTTGTCTAATGATCAGATTGGACATGATGGAGTACAATGTCTTGCGGATGTGCCCTACACAAATACTGTATTTCTTGTTGAACATCTAATATCGTTTTTCATCATCTTTTACTTTTATATGCATACAGACACTCCGTTCATTGACTCTCGGAGGGAATGAAATCGATGCATCTGGTATGGAGTATATTGCCAATGTCTTGCGAAATAATACTGTTAATATCATTGTTTTCTTTTTTTTTTGTTCTCTGTTAAGTATATTTTTTTCTTTTAATAGACTCTCGCCAAATTAAACATTGAACGAAATAAAGCCGGACTAGAAGGAGCACGACATATTGCACACGGATTGCAAATCAATAAAGTATTCCTGATATTTATTCGCAATTTTGAAATATCTATTAGATCGTACATTAATAGACAATAAAAGAAATAAATATTAGATATAATCAAATCAAAGATTATGGTATGAAATATCTCTCGCATGTAGCACGAAATCATCCGATGAGTAAACATCTCTTTTGTTTTCCCGCTATAATTCATTCTATTTTCTATAAGGGATGTTCATTGAGATTTTTACAATGTACATTCTATACTGTTTCATTAATTTTTATTTATCATTGATGCTTTTTTAATATTCTCTTTTGTGAACAGACGCTGACTTTACTGAACATGACTACAAATCACATTGATTGATGGAATAGTACAACATTTTGGTAATGCATTACAAATTAGCAAAATGTATTTCTTATTCTGTTTGGAGCAAAAATAAATCCACATTTGAAAAAGAGGCAATGCTAAACTATACTGTTGTTAATTTGCTAGCATAGATTTTTGAACAATTATTTTTCACAGAAGTAACAGAATTTTACTAAGTCTCGTCAAATTAAAAAGTTTGCTATTAAACATTTTAAAGAAATAGAACTTCCTAGTTAATCATTCCCGAAATTGAAAGGTTAGAATCGAAAAATCGAAATTCGCCTGCACCTATCTGTAACACTTGGTACAAATTATAATTTTTGATAGCATGAGACACATTATAAATAATATAATTAGCCACAATTACAGTTATTTGAACTCTCGCTTTAATCATCTGAACCGCGCTTTTCGAGATGTACATCATTCTTTTTTCTAATCGTGCTATTTCTAGTCAACGATCATAGAAATGGCACGAGTGGTCAAATAATAAAAATATTTATGAATTCGTTATAAATCAGGATAAATATGAGAGAAAAGATTGTCTTTTCATAGATGTAACTAAACATAAGAAAAGAGAAGAATATTAATGAGAGATAATGTATTTATATAATATATCAAAGAAATAATAGATTAGGTATAAAGGATGGTCAACCAGTCTTATTGTGAAAAAAAACGTCTGACTATCTCTGCTATATTTTCATCAAATGGTCTGATTGTTTTCACCATTAATAACAAGTAACGCTCGTCTCTGTGACTCGTCTGATCTTCGACGATTCGATACGTTGTATTAATTAGTTAGTTGAGTGAGTCATTATAGAAAATTCTTCTGTATGAATTTACCCTATAATAAAAAATGGACTTTTTCACTGTAATTTAGTTGAGTCTATCAATTGCTTTCAATAGAAAATGAAATTTATTCATTATGTGAATAATATGCATACATCAATTTTATTCATATTAATATACTATTGTTCAGGACCATATAGGTCTTGATTAGAAACACACTATAATATCAATGATATACGTAGTGACGTGCAAAGACTCAGTTATTTCCCTTTCGACTATGCACGCCCTCTATATAGCTCTTCTATCGCTTCTGATAAGATAACAAATGAAATAGCAAATACTATCGTGGTGGTAATATACCACGATAATGGAATCAAAACACATATTCTGTTTATATCATGACTTCAACCGAGAACGATGAAATATTATTAAAAAGAAAGAATAATAATGATGAAGATCACCTAGAAAAACAAGATATTAAGTATTCAGATGAAAAACTGCAAGAAATCTGCAAGAAATTAAAATGGCATGAAAATCCTGTCTTGCAGACACCCAAGTCCTTTCGAGAAAAGACAACAACATATTCATCATTTTGTACTTGTTTATGTGTTGGAATTTTGATTTTTCTGAGTTTACCTATTATTCTGACCATATTTATTTTGTTTCTACTTCTATGGATTCTTCCTGGTTTCGGATGGTTCTATGAACAATATGCCGAGGCTCGTGATCGAAAAAAATATTATCCACCAATAGACGAAATGAAACCTTGGGGTCCTAATAATAAGCTCATACATGTGGTACATCTTCGTGCAGCAGAATCAAAACTTCCATCTATTATTTATTTAAGCGGCATGAGTATTAGCATGTATTATGTCAAACCATTGCTTTTGAAATTCGTTGAATTTATGGACGAGCCTGTTGAAATATTATCATTCGATCCTCCCGGATATGGTGCTTCTGAACCTCCTAATGATTGGAATACAGAAAATTTAGAAAATGAAATCTTATTGTTACACCAAGTATTTACGAAATCAAGACTTCGAAAGCCATTTCTTCTTATAGGTGGATCAATTGGAGGTTTATTAGCACATCTCTATTGTTTGACATATCCAGAAGATGTCGCAGGTATTATTCTATTGGATCCAACACCGCCCACCGTATTTGAACGAGAAAGTCCAGTAGTAACGGATATGAATCGTGTACGTTCCGTATGTAGAATAATGGCTCGTGCCGCTTCCTGGGGCTTGCTCAGACCTGTTTCATTCTTGTTCGATTATTTCGGAGTTGGTGATTTCGGTTATTTCTTTCGTCCTTCGCAACCAGGTTACATTGCTATTTTAATGACGCAAACCATGTTAAAAAAGCTTGAAAATCAATTACGTTGCTGTTACACTATCCCGGATTATATATCAAAGCTACAGAAGGATGTTACGATTCATAGAGATCTACCTTTGCTAGTTGTAAGTGCACCGGATTCAACCAAAAAACGACCTCGCGGGGGTCTCACGGGAGAAGAAACTCTTCAGTGGTGGCGGAATAATCAACAGCTTTTTCTTCGCAGTTCTGATAATGCTGCTTTCATTTTTCGTGCAGATTATAATCATGTACAGTGTGTATTGGATATGGAACTAGCAGCTAATGCCACAAAAGCTATCTTGACACAAATTCATAACGAGACTATTCGTTGATATTTCTTCGAAGTTTTCCTTTTCTAACTTAGTTTTCTTTCGACAAATACGAATTCAAAAAAAAAAATCAAATGTGGACATGACTTTGAAAATCGAAATAAAATCAGAGAAAATAAATTATGTCCACATATATATTTAAAAGAGCTCCCTATGTGTTCCATTATAGAGATACTGCTACATACGGTGAGAATAAAATTAATGTAATTTTTCTTCTATATAGTTATAGAAAAAACAAGAAAGTTTTACACTTTGACAATTTGACGGGATAAATTAATTATTGATGAGAAAAAATTCTTTGTGTAAATAACTTCGGTTCAATAAAAAACACTAATAAAACCGGCAAGACATATTTTCTGGACATGTACTTAATATTGTGAGTACAGATTTTAAAGATATTCGTAATTGAACAAAATCTTTCCCATAGTCGTACTAGGTTTTATTCTGTAGAATTCGATTTGCTCTACAAATCCATCTAAACATATGCTTTATTCAATATAGAGTTTGATCAAAATCAAACAATCTTTCTTCAATAACAAAGCCTATTGATTCGGGCTTCTATGCTAAATTTATAAAACCTCATGCATTGTTTTAAAGAAGTGAAGATAATTCTACTTTTTAGGACTACCTTTTTCGTTTGAAACTTGAGTAGAGTAGTCTAACTGCATAGCAATTTGTGAATTTTATTGTAAAGATTCATTTTCGCTTTGTTCTTGAGGCATTTGTGAAAATAATTTAATAAGAAAGAATTTGAGAAAGCATTACTTGTATCATCATCAATTCGAAGTTTTTCGAAACCATTCATCAACATTGTCAATCATTTGAAATAAAACTTAACTCTCCATTCAATAAAGAAATAAACTTTAAGTACAGTTAACAAAGGTCGAAGATAGTCAGGTTTTAATTCAGATCGAATTCTTAGAATATCCTGAACTATAAAATTAGCATTGTATCAAAGCGTTTATAGACATGTAAACTTATACTTTTTAAATAAATTATTTTACAACTACAAGAATAGTTTCTCTCACAAACATTAAATATAAAGCCGTTTTTTGTGTAGAGTTGTGAAGAAAGCGTAGAAATGTGACAGACAAAGTCTTTTATGTTAATTTAATAATGACTACAAAAAAATCATCGAAAATATTTGTTTGTGTTAATCATGTTCACACCGTATATTGACTGTGCATCGATTAGCCATTGAATGGCTTTGATCTAATATATTTCTTTGAATTTTAATTCTAATCTTTGAGGTTTTCACAACTAATACTTTTAATGCCGTGCATTCTTCAATATTTACTCATAAAATTTCCAAATAACGAATTCATATGTGCTTTTTGAAAAATATTGATGGGATAGATATAGATAAACACTAGTCGAAACTGAAATAAAATAGATGTATTCCTCGATTAAACAAAGATTGTAATTCTAAATAACTATAATCTTATAAATTCGATTGTTATATATGAATGGGTACTAGTTATTTCATTTTGCATAGAATAAACCAATTATAATCATCAGTGAGAAAGTCTACAAGAGGATTTGTAATATTTGGACAACAAATATATTTCGGAAAAGAGTTTTTTCCTTGAAAAACAGTTGTTCATTAAAAAATATGTTGGTTAAATGTACAGAAATATTTAATTTGTTTCTGTATTCCGATCATTATGAACAAAATCATTGATGTTCTTCAAATCAAAATCGAGTTCAAAATACGACAAATACTTGGTTAATTTCTTTTTCTTTGTCAATAATAATATTAATCTCAACAAGTATTCTTAATCGAAATATCTTTAATTAAAAAGTACAAAACCGCTGACAACTCGTTTCTTTTGACGACCATCAATACTTATTATCAATCCTTTGAAAATCAATTCATATAAATTAAGTGTATGTTTTACGATCTTTTCTATAGTATAGTTATACTTTTATGGAAAAGATTCAGATGAAATGTAACAATTGAACATATTGCAGTTGATAGAATTTCATAGGTCACATGAGAGCATAGAAAAAATTGAAGACGATATGTAAGGAGCTATTCCAGACAAATGACATCCAAAGTTTTCCATATATATTGAAATAAACTCCAGATTTAATGAAAAATTCTAACTTGCGATATTTAAGATTTGATAGATTTCAAATACCTAAAAGTGGAAATTATCCGATTACGTTGGGTACTAGACTATTATTGGTTTTGATCAACAGACCGCAAAAGATGTTCAATTACTCTTGAAACTAAGTGATTTTCTTGGAAAATCATAGATAACCTCTAAAGATTCAAAATTATTTTTCTATTAAGACAGCTTTGAGAGACTCTGATTAATTCATCAAGCATGAAAAGTTTGTTTCTTACTGTGTGCTTTTAATTTTAAGTGCGAACATCAAAGGTACACTGGTCTTTTAATTTGAAATAAAAAACTTGTTAGCGCAATTCTTTCGGAGCTGAAATGTGGAACTCATCCAGTGAAAAAATGTTAGATTATATCATATTATCATCGGACTTTTGCGAAGCAAAATCCAGTGATATTCTGACAAAAATCTGTCATCTTTTCACTGAGCACATATACTCTTGTATCTTCCTGGAGTAATTCAGAATGTATAAAATAAAACTCTTCCTGTAAGTTGCAATTAATTTCACCAACACTAGATGACAATATCCGATATCAAATATTCATTTCTAAGTTGGTAACAGGCATTTTTTTCTTTTGGTTTGTGTGTGGGTGGGTGCGGGTGGATGTGGGTGCTCTTTGAGTCCACTGACACCCACACCCAAGATTAGACAATAGTTTTGAACTATTAGTCGTCTCTGTTGAGTACTTGCAGCTTTAAATGAAAAAGGTACTTGTTTCGACTTATATTCAATCATGTGATTTTTTGATTAGCATGTATTACAGAATCTGAAATAACAAATAAATGAATGTTGTTCGAAATAAAAGATAAGTTTCTGTCTTCTTTATATTGTGTCAGCTTCTTTCTATATATAGACTTTCTATTGGGCAAAATTTTATTTTGTTTCAACATTCAAACGCACGTTTTACATGATTTTATTGTATTTGTAATCAACAGAAAGAGCACAAGATAACAGCGAAACGTTGATAACATTCGAATGAAACAAAAACCAACTATTGACAAATAGTTTTTGCTACTATTTTTAACTAGATACTTTTGCATGAGGTGGTCTTAACGAAAAATAACGAGAAAAATTTGAAAGCGTTTAGGAGAAATATTGACATTCTAATTTTTCTTTTACGTTGTCATCGATATGCATATTAGTTAGAAGATCATTCGACAATTTAATTGTCATGCATTCAAAATCATTAAAATATAGTTACAACTGATAACACAAAATAGATCTTAATATTATACAACCATTATGAAGTTAGAATTTGACCATATTTTGTACAAAAATCATTAATATTATCTAAAATAAGAGGTTGAATCATGATGCAACGAATATTTGAAACTCCTCAATTAGATTAAAATTGAAAAGAAGTACACAGTGAAGTTTACATTTGTCTATTTTTTCTAGAACTACATCAATGATGCCTTCGCTGTTTTTTCAGTTTTAGCTAGAGAAAAACATGATATGAGATATATATAAACGTTGTAACGATCTTGAGATGATTTCTCTTTAGTAAATGATGAGAGAAAAGAATTGATATAAATTTAAAAATATTGTTAAAATACGGTTAATTATATAGTTATCACCGATAGAAAACTAGAACACTAGACAATTGAAGTATATAATATTTATTTATTTCGATTTTTTATGTGTTCCTCAACTATTTGTTTAATCGATTGATTCGATAACTCTTCAAGAAGTTTTCTTTGCACTTCAATTGGTTGCTCATATGACTCGAAATCCAAAATTGAAAACCGATCAATATTGAATGCCATAGGTGGTGTTGGCATCTTTGGGACATCAATACCTACACACACATCCTTTGCATACACAAAAACGAAATCAAAATGAATTAAACATTAGTCTCTTTTTCTGAATGGTGCTCAAAATCTACTTTTGTCAGCAATGGCATCAGCCATGGATAAGAATAAAGATGTTTTATTCCCGCTCATTTAGTAATTATGTTTTCAGTTACATGCACCCTACTTTAAGTTTCAATATTATTATCAACAACTAGTGAACCAGCCGTAAGTAGTAACTAAAGAGTAGAAACATAAATCACAAGCAAACCTAACTTCCCTATGCTCATGCCAATATCTTCCTTTGTTTATTGTGATTAAAGAGAAAAAGTCTTTTTAAATACTTGAGAATGTTGTCGTTGAACAAGAACTAGAAATTTGAGGAAAACAAATCGAAAACAACATTTAACGGTCTTAGAAAGTGAAAGTATTGTTATAAAGAGAATAATTTCACAATGAGATGCAATAACAAATGACACTCACGATAACATGAAAATATACATAATACTGATAATGTACATAACTACACACTTGAATCTATCATTTAGTGTTTTGTTGATAGATAGGTGCTATCTTATCTTTGTGAACAAGCCCAACTATTAATATAAAGACACGAATCTGCTATTCCTATTCGTTAAATACAAAATCATCAACGTGTTTTTTTCACTCACTCGAACAGTTTACAACCATATATAGTAATTTAATTAACTGTTGTCCAATACAAGAGATTCACCAAACAAATAGTATTAAATGTAGCATATATTTTCATGCTGATGTATTTGGTAGCTACATGTTTTGCAAAGGCAAATAGTGCAATATGTCAGTGCTCTTGCTGCGTTGGTCAAGGTTGCAAACCAATTGCGAAGCCTCCTGTATTCATACCATCATGTAAGGATGGCGCATGTGGCGTTAAATGTACAACTACATTTCCAAATGATTGTGTTGTTCCAACATCGGTATTTACAGCCTCATGTTCTTCAGCAACGTCAACTATCATCAATCGACATGCATTATCCATCATCTTTGGGATGGCTTTTGCACTTTTTGTCAAACAAATTTCTTAAAATGCACACTTGATCAATGATATGCTCAGTGGTTTTTTTCAAATTTTTGATTGTTTAGTTAGAAAATCATGTTTGTTGAATAGAACATTATTCGACATATAATAAATATTTAATTATGAAAACCGAATTTGCTTATCAAAGGTACTGTTATTATGTTTCAGAAATAACTTGAAAATTTTAATAATACAGGTTTTTATTTAGAAAGTTCTTTGCAAGTGCACTGTGGATTTCGATGCCTCTTACAGTTTTTAGGCATTGTAATTAAACTTGAATATGAAGCAAATAAACCACTGTTTATTATATTATCTCTAGAAAACTAAAGCAAGAAAACTTCTTGGACAAACATTTCATTTTAATAATGATGTGTAATAACATGAGCATGAGACTAAACATTCGAAATAACTGAAAAACTATACGACTATTCTTCTCTTTTACATCTTAACCAAGAAAATATGCCATTTGGTAGAGTTTTATTGGATATTTACTATTACACATTATGTTCAAACTATTCAAGAATTACAAGCTATGGCAAACATTTTCTGGTTTCAATGTCATTTATATAAATGAAACAAGTAATATAATTTGGTTAATCGTCGGATTCTTTTCAAGAAGAATAAAAGCGGTTTTATTGATGAAGACCATTACAATTAGAGTCGAAATTCTATACAATATTTTCTTTTTGATGTACAAAATATGCAAGTCGATAATGGAGAATGTATCGATAGAAAAAAGAATTGTGAATTGTATCCGTAAAATAGAGATATATAATAATGCGATGGTGTTTATTAAATGAAATACAACATAAAACAATAATAACATACATGAGCGCTAGATTTAATATATCACGACAAAAAAAGTTATACTTGAAAAAACTAATCAAGTTATTATTAGGGTATGGGTGTGGCTAAACGAAGACTCCTACTCACACCTACACCCTTGTCATTCGATCGACATGGTAATTTGTATGTGATGGACTCAGGTAATCATCAAGTTCAGTGATTCTCAATCACAAGAGGCTGATGCTTGCGTAACATCAGCAATTATCATGGAACTTTCTGTAAAATCCGTATGATCCGCCAGACGATATTCTAGTGTCATGTTGAAACTTCTCCAATTGTATTTCCGAACAGCATCATATATGAGTGAAGAGCACGCCCATTGTACCGTTTGGTCTGGAAAAGAAAAGCGCTCATATGGCGAGTTCTACTCAACCGATTTTAATATCGTTTTTTTTATTTTACTGGTCTAAGAGTAGTCATTCACTTCTGCAAAAATCAAGTTTCTCGCTGCTTTGGTTTCCGAGAAATCATGACAACAATATCAAATAACTAGCTTTTCAACGCTATCTAGCGGAACGGAAGCATTTTTTTGTTATTACAGTTTGATCTTTTTTCAACCGTTTTGCAGCTAGACTTGTAGAACTCGTCGCGAGCTTTCAGAGTATGTCATTGGTTTTAGCTCTACACAAAGTTTTATGAGTGGAAAATTATCAACAATAGACGTTAAGACACTTCTCCATTTTTATGCAGAGCGAGACAAAAATCATTGGCTTTCAATTTCAAGAAATTTGATTGGAACAATTTTGATTGAATAAGAACGAGTGCGGTGGAGAAAATAATTTGACAAATAAAAGAAGTTCGTTTCATATACTTTGTTAATACAAAATTTTTATAAAAAGTTCAAGAAAGCTATATTAACACAATATGTAGAGCGAGATTTTAAATTTGGTTATTGCTATAACTCAATGAAAACTAACGAGGGAACCGTTTGAGGTGATTCCCTCCTTTTAAGCTCATATTTATGGCACATATAGGGGATCTCTAGCAGTGGCGTACGCAGGGGGGGGCCGAGGGGGCCCGGGCCCCCCCTTGAGACGAAAAAGTCCTGAAGGGAGGTACAGGAAAAAATATTTTCGCGTGATAAAAAATTTTTTGTGTCATGGCGGGCCCCCCCC